ATTCTTACAGAAGACACCGATTCAATTCCCAGTACTCACCCATAGCTGCCTGTATTTCTGATTCCAGGGGACTGGACACTATTTTTGGTCTCCCTGGGCAGGTTCACACACATATAAGTAAAACTTTTAAAAACAAACAAGAACCACAAAGAAACAAAATATAGTTGAGATTTAGGAAAGGAGGGAGGGATAACTGGATGACACAGGTACCTCAGGGTCAGGACATGTCATCAGTTATCAAGGAGACTAGAGTTTGGTGCCTTTGAGGCTGAGCTAATGGGTAAAACAGATTCTGAGGGGATCTATTGTTCATTGTAAAGCCTGGGAATTTAGCACTTCTGGGATTATTTCCTGGCCTGTCACACTATTCTCTATGAAGCAATATTGGTGAATATACGTCATAATATATCTGTAAAAACACAGAATGCACAAGAACAAGAGAAAGAGACTGTGGACTTCAGTTGATAATTGTGCCAACGTTAGTTCATCAGTCTTGACATCTGTGCCACAATGATGGGGAATGCTGATGCTGGCAAGGCCTCTCCCTCTTCCCCTCCCCTTCCTCTCCTCTCTTTCTCCTCTCTTCCTCTCCTTCTCCCAACTTTTCTCTCTCTCTTGCTCAATCTCATTCTCTCTCTCAGTCAGTCATGTGTGTATGCCTGTGTAGGTTGGAAAAGGTGGTTTTGTAAAAAAAAAAAAACAAAACAAAAAAACAAAAAAACTGTACTTTCCACTTAGCACTTAGTTTTGCTATGAGCATACAACTATTCTTAAACAAACAAAATCTGCTAAAATTGACTGAATCATCATCAAAATATTTTTAGGCTTCTGCAGGTGGGAAACTGGTAAAGACAGTCATCCCATATAACCTGCCCTTACTGACCTCACGCTCTGCCCATGACTTAGACACCAGCCCCTGACATCTTGAGATTGCAATTAGTGGGCTGGTAGAGAGTTTCCAGCTCTCCAGATGACTCAGCTGAGTGGCCCAAGTGACAAACGACAGGTCTTGATGAGCCCTTGATATTTCCCCAAGCTTCAACACTCTCTTGTAAGTAATCACAAAGATAAAGTAAGATGACTGAATAAAAGACACACATGAGAAAGTTTAACTTCTAATATTGTGCTCAGAAGTATTTATGAACCTCAAAAGACCACCAAGGAGCCAACACCAATATAATCCCGTTAGGGTCTCTTTATTATAAACTCGAGTTTGGGCTAACTCACTGCTAACCCCTCGGATGGTTTGGTGAAGCAGCTCTGAACCCCGAGCAAGTGAGGGGGTGTTTAGCCTGACAAGCATCTAATAGAATGACTACTGTAAGTTGACAGGTGGGTGCTCTGAAGCAAGACCGTGACATTCACAAGCAGTCTGAAAGTATATCTGAAACAATCAGACTAATCTTTGACTGATGGATGCTAGGAAGTTGCAGGCTTAGCTCTGGGTTATGGGCCAAGGACAAGCCATGAGGTGCTTTCTGAGTGTACACTTGAGTGTAGCTTAGGTTCAGCTGTAGGTCATTTTCTTAGACTTTTTTTTTTTTTTCTTTTAAGATGGAGGCTGGGCCCCGTCGCGGCGGTCGGGGGCACTCGCAGTCCGCAGCCTTCGGGCGGGCCGGGCTCCGGGCGGCGGGCGCTTTGTGCGGGGGGCCGCGAGCCCGGGCCGGGCTGGGCCGGGCGGCTGGGGGGCTCTAGCGACCTCAGCCCCGGGCCGGCTCCATTTTGTCTGGGGAGCCCGCGAGCGGGGAGCGCGACGCCCCGGAGCGGCCGCTTTGTCTCCCGCATCCCGGCGGCGGCGGCGTTGGGCGCAGGCGGCGGGGGGATGCGCTCCGCGGGGCTGCCCAGGCACCTACGAACCGAGGCGGCGGGTTCCCGCGAGGAACGAGCGGCCTGGCGGGTCCCCGGCCCGCACCGCGCCTACAGCATGCAGCCATCTGGCGTGTGGCTCTCCCCGGACTTGCCCCGAAGGTTAAAATTGGACAAGGATTCACCACCTTTTTGACAGGTGTTTGAGAACACCACTGATACACAATTCTGACAGTATTTCATGACAATGGATGGCGACAGCTCTACAACAGAGCTTCTCAACTGGGGGTTTCTGGAGACTACATCGGAGGAAGTCATTATGTGATCCAGCCCCACGATGATACTGAGGACAGCATGAATGATCGTGAAGATACAAATGGTTCAAAAGAAAGTTTCAGAGAACAAGATATTTATCTTCTAATTGCAAATGTGGCTAGGATAATGAAAAAAGGCCATACCTCAAACAGGAAAGATCGCAAAAGATGCCAAAGAATGTGTTCAGGAATGTGTGAGTGAATTTATAAGCTACAGAACGTCTGCAGCAAGCGAAAGGTGTCATCAGGAGAAGCGGAAGACAATCAGTGGGGAGGACATTTTGTTTGCTATGTCCACTCTAGGCTTTGACAGCTACGTGGAGCCTCTGAAACTGTACCTTCAGAAGTTCAGAGAGGCCATGAAAGGAGAGAAGGGCATCGGTGGAGGAGTCTCTGCTACACATGGACTCAGTGAGGAGCTCGCAGAGGAGGCATTCACTAACCAGTTACCGGCTGGCTTAATAACTGCAGATGGTCAACAACAAAATGCTATGGTTTACACGACGTCCTATCAACAGATTTCTGGTGTCCAGCAAATTCAGTTTTCCTGATCTGAAGAAAGGATGGAGAGCCGGGCATGTGTGGAGAGTGGGAGACTGGCGGAGTCTGGAGCAGAGGCTTTGGAGGAAGCGAGGGTGGAGCCGCCTCCTTGTAGAGTACTAGCTGTAATGTAGCTTCCTGATGCTTGACTAATTGAGGTGTTAATTCTGACTTGAGAATCTTTTTCATGAATGATTTTAAAAGAAAAAAATTGGATTTTAAAGGTATTAAAATATTTTTGTTTTGTACGAAAATAAAAGATGGAGGCTGATCCTAAGATGGGATAGGTTTGGCCTTTCAATATTACTTTTAAAATCACACTGTAGACCATAACTCCTGTACCATCACCATCCACAGTCCTTCTAGGAAAGTTACAAATCAGGGCTGTCTTTGCTAAAACCCTTCTTTTTTGATGTATACTTGATGCATATTTAAGAAAAAAATAAAACAATATACTTTCTTTTTTCTTTTTTCTTTCTTTTTTTCTTTCTTTTTTTGTGTTTTTGTTTTTTTCGAGACAGGGTTTCTCTGTATAGCCCGGGCTGTCCTGGAACTCACTCTGTAGACAAGGCTGGCCTAGAACTCAGAAATCCGCCTGCCTCTGCCTCTCAAGTGCTGGGATTAAAGGCGTGTGCCACCACCACCTGGCTAACAATATATTTTAAACACAATCTTTTTAGAGTAGATGAGGGAAGCTCCATCAGCAAACCCAGAATGCAACAATCCACTATCTAACTTTCCAATAACCAACCAACCAACCAACCAACCAACCAACCAACCAATCAAACAACCAAACAACCAACCAACCAAGAAACACAAAAAACCCAATACAACAAAACAAGCAAACAAAAAACAAAAGTCACCCACCAACCAACCACCCAAACAATCAACCAAACATAACCCAAGCAGACTCCTATTCATTTCCTAGAACTCTGTAGTACAGCACTGAGAATGTGTACTGAGCTCCAGCACCCTTCTCTCCTTGGCTACCATGGGCTGAATGTCTCTGATCTGGTGTCAGGAATCACTCAAACTGAAGTAGACATTAAGACATTATAGCCAATCTGCTCTTTTTAACAATCAAACTGCAACAGCCTTTATTAATTCTTAGCAAAACTAAATATTTTATTGATTGTGACAAACTGATTCATTATGAAAAATATGCTGTCTTTCTGAAGTAATTTTAAATATAAACGTGTCCTGAAGACAATTTAGAAATTTAGAAGTCTGAAGGAAACGCATGATAGTCTCAAACTCTGTCACAACTGGAATAGGACTTCTCTCAGCAGAGAGCCTGTGTCCTGTTCTCTCTCCTTTCCTTCCCCCTTCATTTCTGCATTGCTCCACCTAGCACCTAATTCAGAGCTCAGGGGGTCAGTATAGGATCAGTGAGCATCAAGATAGAAGTGGAGTAAAAATAGCACTAATAAACTGAATCCCTTGATCCATTATTTTCTTCCCCTGATGTGTGCTTGGTCCATATTCACTGTGGTAACCTCTCTTAAAAAGAAACACCCATCCTTATCCTAAGCTCAACTCCATAATAGATGTTCATATTTCCAGAATTATGAGAAATTTGCCACCTCTAAAAGTGACATTAGATTCCCTTGAAACCTTCATGCTCCCATGATTGAAGCCCTTTGGGGCAGATGGGGGAAGTGGAATTTCAATGCATGATAAAATAGATTTTAAAAAAGGCCAGGCAGTGGTGGCGTACACCTTTAATCCCAGCACTTGGGAGGCAGAGACAGGCAGATTTCTGAGTTCGAGGCCAGCCTGGTCTACAGAGTGAGTTCCAGGACAGCCAGGACTACATAGAGGAACCCTGTCTCAAAACAATAACAACAAAAATAGATTTAAAAAAAAAAACATGATTATGAAATTCTGAATTCAGGTCTTCCCTCCCACCCACACTTTTTTGTTTAAACTTTTAAATATTAGTCCTCTTTTAATGGTTTAAATAACTATTTCTATATTACTGGTAATTATGTAGACTCAAAAAAATCAACCTTTGCTGGGCGGTGGTGGCACACGCCTTTAATCCCAGCACTTGGGAGGCAGAGGCAGGCGGATTTCTGAGTTCGAGGCCAGCCTGGTCTACAGAGAGTTCCAGGACAGCCCGGGCTACACACAGAAACCCTGTCTCGAAAAAAAAAAAAATCATCAACCTTCTAAGATGTTCACATTTGAGAGAATCGCTGCAGTGAGTGGAGACACTGAGGTGGTGTTGTTACAAGAATTAGGATGATGTTAACCTGAGTTTTGAGTATACTCAGTAGAGGGTTACCCTCTCCACTGCAGCTGGAAGAACCAACAAAGAAAATTGCTTTGGAGCTGTAATGGGTGTTTGACTGTGAAATCAACGACAATCTCTTTAATTTCAGGCAGAAGGCACCTCAGGGGATCACTAGGATTCTTCTTCAGGATAAGGACTGTCTTCAATAATGTAGACCTTGTCTTCACCTCTGGCTTGCTCCACCACTTTTTTTGGGGATGCACCAATCTTAGAGACAGGGAAGGGAACAAAGCTGCAAAGAGAGAGAAAGAGAGAGATGTTGAAAGGATAAGAGGCCATCTTTAAAGTCTGAGTAGAACATTCATGATACATACTCAGGACTCCAGCAGCCCCACCCACAAAGACTATTACAGTGAACAGTACCACACAGGTCCTCAGTATTACATTGTAGAAATGTGTGATTAATCATCAGACTAAGAATTATTTTGTTTTTAAAAAGCAGCTCATATGGGAATCTTTCACATTACTTATGTAATAGAATGTAGGGAGACAGATAACTAGCATCAAAGCAGGTACCTGATTAGGATGTGCATTTAGAACTGAAAGTTCTGTATTTACTTTGGACTGTGATGCTTTAGTGAGGGTTAGCAGGGTCTGGTTACCTAAGTAGATGACCCTGGAACAATGGAAGGATGGAAGGAAAGAACCAGCATCACAGTGCTGCCCTCTGACCTTCACAGGTGCCTTGACACATTGCCTGTCCCCTCCACCTCCAGCCAAGGCACTATGCCTACAATTAATACGAAGTTCTTTTTTTAAAGAAATGGTATTGAAACCTAAACAGAATTTATATTCTCTAACAATAAGTGTAGAGTAGAAAAACATTTAAAACTTTAGAGGGAAAAGGGTAGTACTTCCGGGTCCCAGGAGGAAGGAAAGGGATGCAGGAGAAAAAGTTGATATAAATCTACATAATGATACAAATTTTGAAATTAATTTTACTACTCTTATATAGGCATCATGCCTGTGCAACTCATCTAAGAATATGAGGCTTGGACCCAGTCCTTCTAATAGGTGCTATTACAACACAGTGCCTTTTCACAAGGGCTGGAGTCTGTTACATAATATCAAAGACCACTTGCATGACACACACTCACATATATTGCCTGCACGAAAACATCAGGCACTGAACTGAAGGAAATCACTTTTCATTTCCTGCTTTCCATTGCAGCTACAGGAGGTGCTTTAGTTGCAGAGTTCATTCGCTACCCCTGTTATCAGGGTAGTCACAGTGGACTGATATTTGAGCCTCCTAGAACTCATGGAAGAGCACATCATAGAAGAAAAGAGACTAACTTTAACTGTCGGTGAGGTATGACATAATGGAGCTTGGTCACTTGTGCCCAGCAGCCATCTCTATTATGTAGACCCAAAATGAAGCTCTCTAGTTGGCCACATGAAGGATATCTGTGCTGAGAATTACAAAGAAAAGAGCAATCCAGCTTCACTCTGCATGAAACAGTCACACATGTAGGGAGACAGTGTAGAGTCAAGATACTCAGGAGGCAGTGTGAGAGATACAACTGAGGAAGTCCCCGAATTTGTTAAGTAGTGCTTAGTTTGGCTTCCTAGTCTTTCTTTCTTTCTTTCTTTCTTTCTTTCTTTCTTTCTTTCTTTCTTTCTTTCTTTCTTTCTTTCTCTCTCTCTCTCTCTTTCTTTCTTTCTTTCTTTCATTCTTTTTCTTTCTTTCTTCTTTATTTATTTATATTGTATTTATTTGTTCATTCATTCATTCATTCATTCATTCACTTGGTTTTGTCAGTGTCTCTCTAGGTTGCTATGACTATCCTGTAACTCCCTATATAGACCAGGCTGCCTCACACTCACAGAGATCCACCTGCCTCAATCTCCTCAGTGTTGGAATTAAAGGTGTGAGCCACCACACCTGGCTTCATTCATTTATTTTTAGGCAGGGTGTTTCTAGAAGTCTCAGCTGGTCTTAAACATATAGTCCTCCACACCTTTAATCCCAGTAGTCTGGAGGCAGAGGTAGGCAGATCTGTGTTCAAGGCCAGCCTGGTCTAGAGCTAGCTTCAGGACAGCAAAGGCTACAGGAAGAAACTTTGTTTATGTAGGGGGAGGTGTCGGTTCCCTAAGTGGTTCTCGATTATGTCAATAGAGGAGGTGGAAGCCAATTACAGGGCGAAGGAGAAACGGTGGGACTTCCAGGTCCCAGGAGGGAAGTCATGTGACACAGAGGAGATACAGGGAGGGGACTTACAATGGAAAAACTAGAAAGGGCTTCTAGAGTAAGATAAACTGAAAAGCCTGCAAGGCAGACACTAGTGTAGTGAGTGAAGGGGACTGGCATGAAACTGTGGAAACACTGGCCGTGCCACAGTTCCATTGCATTTCCCGAAACATCAGGAATTATCTTCCTTTAAATCGTTTGCTTTCTTTGGGCTCCCTTAAAGAGCCCACCACCCAGTCCTGTCATCTCCAGATTACTTGCCTAACAGCACCTAAAAGGACCTGTCTATTAGCTTGTATGCTTTCTGATACATTTCATCAGTTTTTAATAAAATAGGTACTCGATGAAAGAAAATATTGAATAAACCAAGAGTGGATAAAACAAAAAGGTACTCATTCAGCCCCATGATGCAAAATTTACATTTCAGCATCTGCCTAGAAGAGATTAGAATTCTAATTCTAATCTTGAGGGATCTTCAGTTTCTGTCTAGAAATAAATGTTAGGAAAGGCAAATTGTATAAAATATCTCTGAGAAGTGAGGATAGCAAGAAAAGGTCTTGCCCAGGGGGTAGTGGCCCAGTGCTTTAACTTAGCATTCAGGAGGAGGCAGGCAGATCTGAGTTCCAGGCCAACCTGGTCTACAAATTGAGTTACTTGACAGCCATGGCTTCACAGAGAAAACAAAACAAACAAAAGAAAACAGGTGTGTGTGTGTGTGTGTGTGTGTGTGTGTGTGTGACGTCATTAAACTTCAGTTTTGGATCCAAGGTGCAAAATGGGAGCCAAGCATTATGGACCACACCTGTAATCCCAGAAAGAAAGAGTCTGAGTGAGGTAGGAGGTCTGTGAGTTCTAGTCTGGCCTAGGCTACATAGAAAGTTTCAGGTCAGTCTGTGTCACATAATAAGACCCTGTCTCAAGTCAACCAATTGACCAACAGATCAATCAGGAAAGAATGATTTAGTGGCTAAAGAGAGCATGGGGAGGAATTCTTAAGACAGTGAGTTCAAAAAGAATCAACACAATCCATATCGGCTTACCTCAGAGAGCCCGACTTCTTTTGCATAATTATGAACCCTAAATTGGGGTGGGAGAAGGATGGTGAGAGAGGTTGAAAGGAAAGTTGAACTGAAATCAGAAACACTCATGACATTTTCTTCTAATCAAAGACATTGTTTCTGTTTTTAATTGATGCATCCACTGGTAGCTTTGGGTAATTTCTTCCTGTGCAGCGAAGGAAGGATCTTCTTATTCATTGTTTGGTATACTCACTCACCTACCCTCAGTTGCTAAAATGACATTGTAAAGTATCGTTCACAAAACGAAACAAAGAATTGTAGATATTTCTAATGGGCTGCTAGAGAACAAGATTTTGAGGGAATAATAGGCAACTTTGGACTGAGGAAGGCAACACATTTGTGGCATTTTATCCAATTTCTATGTAATTCTCCCTTTTAGGCACTGATATGGTGTCTAATCACAGAATTGGAATGCTGGGGTGAAAAGCATTTGCCACTAGAGGTAGCATAAATAAACTTTTCAGATAAACATGTTCTAAATAATTAGAGGGAAACATCCTGAACTGGCATAGTCTTGATTATTTTTGTTTGTTTTTTGAGACAGGGCTTCCCTGTACAACCTAGCCTGTCATGGAATTCTCTCTGAAGACCAGGTCTACCATACAAATCACAGTTTTACAGACCAGGGTTCTTTCAAGACCTGGTAGCAATGGTTCAACATTACTGAGCATGCACCAGGTACCAGAAACCACCTGTAGTGCTATGTAGGTCCTGATACACCCCTTGGGGAATGGATAGCTTACTGTGTGTCTCAGATCTGGGCAAATGGAAATCATGCGAACTCAAAACCCCTGTGGCATGTACATTTGCTTAAAGTCAGTCAGAAGGACTGAGAATCCTGGCTCCTCTTCCCTGGGGACAGTCGTGATATTACTTACTGGTGATAACCACAGTGCTCACAAGCAGCAGCAGCAGCAAGGCTGCGATGGAGATGCCGACATAGAAGCCCTTAGTCAGGGTTTTCTGAGGCTTCTGTGGAAGGATTGCTTCCTAAGGAAACAATAAATAAAATAACAGTAATAATAAATAGACAAACCAATAAGTAAATAGCAAACCAAAGGGGCATCAAGGATCAGAAAACACAAGCTAGACCTTAAACCTAGACCTTCATCTTCTCTGGCCTGGGGCTAGTCTGGAATTTACAGCAAGATTCACCGAGCTAAGGCAGTAATGGGGAGTGGAACATGGAGACATGCAAATTCAAAGTGCCTTCAAGGCTGATGGAAAGGTGTTCTGTGCTACTCAAGTTGATGACGTGTTGTGTATAATAACTCAGTCAAGTTCTGACTGCATGCTTAATGTGGGTTGATGTATCATATATTTGAGTATGTCTCTTTTAATAGTCAGTAATGTATTCCATAAAGGCATCATCTTATGATAATAAAAAAGAAAAAAATAATTCAACTCTAACTCTACTTGCTCTCAGTATGCTCAGCTGATGGACCTGGTCTTTTATCAAGACTCTACTTGTGAATGCAATTCAAGATTCCACATCTTTACAAAATTCCAATACCAAATGGTCAGCACTGAAAACATATACAAAAATAACATATATATACTGGGATTGTATTTATATTTTAGGAATATATATATATGTATATATATATATATATACATATATATATGTGTGTGTGTGTGTGTGTAATATTTAACATATAATATAAATTATATATATGTATATTAAAAATGTGTAGGAAGCCGCGCATGCGCTGGCTGAAGCCGCGTTTGCCTGGCATCCGGGATTCTTCCTAGTAAACAAGTAAATTGCGCATGTGCCATGGTAAAAGCCCATCCCACGGCATTTGGCGCGCAACGAGTAAGCAGCCAATCAGAGGTGAATACACCGCTCTAGGGTATATAAGCAGTGCTTTCCCAGGCCTGGGCGTCTTCTTCCACCATTTTGTTTTTGGGAATAAACGTGTTCATACGGAAGGATTCTGATGTGTGTGTGCGTGTGCGTTCTTGCTGGCGAGACGATTACACGCGCGACCCACAAAAATGAAAGGAATAGAGACCATAAATTAGAGAAAAAGCAAGGAGAGGGGATGTGGAAGGGTATGGGAGCCGGGAAAGAAAAGGGGAAATTAATGGAATTACATTAAAAAACTTGCTAAAAAAAAAAAACTAGGAAGACTCTACTCATGGATGCAGCCTGATTAACACCTTGTGGTGAGACAGAATGGAGAATTTCTCCCAGTGTCCTGGTGCAGGTGACTGGGCATCATCACCTACTGGAATAAGACAGGTTGGGCATCAGCTTAGGCCCCTTCATAGTTCAACAGTGATCTACTGGCCCTAAGCAGAACCCATGAAATGAGTGTAAGTTTAGTTAGCAGACCATGAGATCAGGTCTTTGCCCTTATATGAACCTCATCTCTGGATCACAACCCCAGCTCCTCTGCTTAGTCAGTGAGAACATGGGCACATTAGCTCAGCTCTGTTAGCTGTGTCTCTATGGTTACAAATAACACGCTCAGTGGAATTCTTGGGTAAGGTACTCTCAGATGCTTCTTGACAAATACCCTGGAGAATGTAGGAGAAAACAAGGTTTGTTTGTTGTTATGACAGGGTCTTCTGTATCCTAGGCTGGTCTGAAACTCACTAGTTGACAATGATGTTAAACCTCTGATCCTCCTGCCTAAGCCTTCTGAGAGCTTGGATCACAGCCCTGTCACCATGCCCACATGAACATTTACTTCGTAACATTTTCCTGATTGTGAATGGCAGCAAAGCCTATCCTTTCTCATTCATCTTCACAAATTTCCTTCAATGTTTTCATGAGATAGAGGCCAGGAAGTTGATCTACTGAGTCCAGACCTATGCTGCCGTTGCTAGGTATGGGGGAGCACACCTTGTTCTCAGAACCTGAGAGGTGGAAGCAGGAGGGTTGGGAGGTCAAGATCCTTCCCAGGTACAGAGCAATTTCACAGCCAGCTTGAGCTACGTGGGATTCTGTCTCAGATACCTAAACAAACACCGAAAACAATGCTGTGTGCTGCTGTGCATTGTTTTCAATGCACCGAGAGATAAAATATTTATTGGGTTTATCTATACTAAAGTTCACTAATAACTTAGTTGTAGTTTTTAACTTTCAGTGAACTGTGAAGCTGTGACAGGTGATTTAGCCAGATAATTACTTCTAATGGATATGTATGCAAACATTCCCTATTGTTAACTTTTATTTCAATTTAAGATTTGACTTTATGTGTGAACTTGTGCTGAACTTTTTAACATGTGATCATGTCTTCTGAAAGATGTATATGCGCGAGTTCAAAGAGAACAGTGAGGGGAACTGAGCTGAGGAGTTTTTAGACAGAACACTTTTTAGATAGAACTGAACTCAAGAAGAACTTAGAAGTATAGGCACAGCATTGGGAGAAAAGGCACTGAGAGTTAGAACATCATTGTGACCTCAGAGCAGGAGGAGAGAGCAAGATTAGAAGGAGAATGCAGAGTGAAGTAACTTAGAAACTATAAGTAACAAAAAAACTAAGAGAGCAACGTGCAGAATGCAGAGGGAAAGAGGAAAAAAGAAGAAGCTTCAGAGAGCAGAAGGAGCAGGCAGGCTCCTCCTTACCATGGGGGCAGAACAGGTTTTTTCTTAATAACAAGGCAGGCTTAATCTTATTAAAGGAACAAAGCTTTCTTCTTACAAACTTGAGTTTAATTCATTTAGAATTAAAAGGGTAGAAGCTTTTTCTTTCTCTATGCAATAAAGATTGGAGCTTATTTTTTTCATCCAGAATGAGTGAGTTCTTTCTGCACCAGTCCTTGGTCTTTTGCTCCATATGTATATATAAGCATGTGTGTGTGTGTGTGTGTGTGTGTGTGTGTGTGTGTATGTGTGTAAGTATGAGAATGCATACAAGCTGGCCCAACTGGTTTGAATGGAAATGTATAAATGTGCGTGCATGAATCTGTATATAAACTTATGTTAGTTTATACATATTTGCTTATGTAAAAGTTTTTCCTTCTGCAAGCGCTATACTCTTCTCCTGGTTCTTTTTTTTTTTTTTTCGAGACAGGGTTTCTCTGTGTAGCCCTAGCTGTCCTGGATCCTGGAACTCACTCTGTAGACTAGGCTTGCCTCGAACTCAGAAATCTGCCTGCCTCTGCCTCCCAAGTGCTGGGACTGAAGGTGTGCGCTGCCACCACCACCCGCCTGGCTCTTCTCCTGGTTCAATAGAAGTTTATTGCTCCAAACTTCCCTCTAGAGCTCTACAAGTAAGAGGCATCTGGAGAAAAGGGAAAAAGGCTCTAGCAATTAATCCTTTACTTAATCTCCTGCTGTTTTAGGATGAGGTGCTAAGTGCCAGAGACTGTAATTTCTGGCCTCAGAGGAACTCACAAGAAAGAAGACCTCCACCCCCTGACCCGCATCCAGCAAGGGCCCTGCTTTACTCTCCATAGTCAAATAATTTTCATAACTCTTCATAACTCCATCTCTGCCTATTTTCTTACCCCTACCCCCATTTCTCCTGTGCTACTTACACACACTAAAAACAAACCTTTTTTCTTCCTGGAGCCAAGAGGAAAATACTCCATTGATGAGTGTATCTAGAATTTCTGTAGAGTGAGAACTAAAGCATGGAATAGAGAAAGTCTAGGGAAAGTCATGCAAAAGTCATTTGAGAGTGTCTAAGACATTAATACCTCATGTGGAGGTTTGTTTACAGTAAAGAAAAATCACCAGTGGGCTCTACAGACCATGGTCAGAGGGTAGAAAAACAATACTAGGGGTTCCTAAATGAACTTCTTGAATTTAGATACCCTTTGTAAGCATCAATTTCT